GGTTTTTAGAACAATTTGTACCAATGGTAGGAATTTTTTCCTATTTTTATAAAAATCATTTAAAAAAGCAAAAAATCATTGGTATTTTAATTGAAATTACATTGAATCTGTACATTGCTTTTGGCAGTATGGACATTTTGACAGTATTTAATTGGTCATTCAAGAAAGTGTTGTTTAATTTCCATATATTTTTACAATTTCTTGTTTTTTTTATTTCTAAATTTTATTCCATAGTTACCAGAAAGGTCTACACTAGGACTTAATTTTTTAAAAAGTTTTTTGAGGCTTATTTTGTGGTCTAAAATATAATCCTAGAGATTATAGTGCTGATGAGAAGGATGCATATTCCACTATTGTTGAATGAAATGTTCAGCAAATATCTGTTCGGTACAATTGGCTTATAATATCATTGAATTCTGATATTTCTTTGTTGATAATTTTCTGTTGGTGTGATCTGGATGATCGGCAGTGTCCATTGATACTGGAGGGTTGGATTTCCCAACTCTTAGTGTTTGAGATTCTCTCTCCCCTTGGATCTAATAAAGTTTGCTCTATAAAATTGGCCCTACACTATTTGGGGAGTATATATTTATAATTGTGATTTTTCTCTTGCCTAATTGGTTCCTTTATCGTTAGATGACTTTCTTCATCTAAGTTTACAAGTTTTGACATGAAGTCTATTTTATCTGATATAAGTATAGCTGTTGCTGCGCACTTCTGGCTTGTTTGTAACTTCTTTTCCGACCCCTAAACTTTCAGGCTATGTGTGTCTTTACTGGTGAGGTAAGTTTCTTGTAGGCAGCATAACACTAGATCTTGGTTTATTTTTTCAAACCACTCAGCAAGTCTGTATTTTTAATTGGGGAATCTAACTCATTTACATTCAAAGCTATTGTTAAATGAAAACCTATCACTGTTTTCTGGTTGTTTTATATACCCTTAGTTCCTTTCTTCCTCTCTTGTTATGATTTGTTGATTTTCTCTATTGATAAAATCTAATTTTCTTTTCTTTCTCTTTCAGTTCAATAGAATTTAAGGCAAGGTTTTTAATGAAGTCATTAAAAGTAGGCTCAGTCTCATATGCTGCTGTGAGAAAATGTTTTTAAAATTCTTATAAAAAAGTAAAATGGCATTAGAAAATGAAATGGAGTAAGTGACAGAAGGGATTTTAACTTACATTGTATAATTTTAATGCAGTTTGGTGTTTTAATATATTCTTGTGGTGTTTGCACTTACAGTTTCCTCTTGCGTTTACTCATTCAATTTGGTTTCCTCACTAAATACTAAGTAAAGTTAGGACTAATTTTTTGCATGAAATTGATTCAAAGAGTGTGTGTGGTACATTGCCCAGACCTGCCTATTTTGAGCTGGTCCTTTGGTTCTCCTGTACAGCTAGTCTGGGGAGTGCTACTTTGGAGCACAATCCTCTTACAAACAGGGGTTCAAACACCCAGAGGATCCTGTATGTCAGAGAATCCTTTAAACTAATTGTATAATAATGCAAATTGTAATAATTCATACCATACTCAATAAGCATGGAAAAATTATGGTTAGGAATAAGATTTAAGCAAAGGCTATTTCTCCAACATTTGGAGGTTGAAGTTTTCTTGGTGGCATGTTTACCTTTAGCAATCTGGTGAAGCCAGTGATCCCTTCCAGGAATAATGGCTCCTTCTCTCCTCAAGTAGGTATAAAATAATGAATGATTATAACAGAATAAATTATATTGCCATAGAGTCACCCAGATCTTAAAACGATTGTTGATAGAGCAGTGTATGAAATTTTTTATGGAAGTGTTAAATAAAAAGACACACTTGTGACCTAGTGATTTCCATAATTTCAGAGAACCAATGTTATTCCAAGATGCTATTCCAAGATGTTTTCAAAACCAATAATGAGGTGTGAACCAATGTGTGAGTTCTGTGGATAGTAGTCACAGATACTGCTAATACAATCGTGATCTGACCCATTGTGGGAATTCAGTCACACTTGAAGGCATTGCCTTAGGAAAAATCAAAATGCACCTTTTTCTGCATGTAATTCAGAGTCTCCCCTGAATTCACCATGCTCTAGGTCATAAATCACTGGCCTAAGGGAAGGATTAGAGAAGAGGAAGAGCCAGGGACAGAGTCAAGGTTGGAAGAATAAAGCAGAGAAGGAGTAAAATCCAGCCTAGGAGGAAAGGATGCCTCTAGGTTGGTTTCTCCATGTAAGGATGAGGAAGTGGGAGGGGTTGAATCAGCAGGTTAAAAAGCCAGATAATGGATCCATGAAGATGTTAGGTTTTGGAGATTTGCAAAGAGGAAAAGCAGTTAGAAGGAGAGAGGGCTGAAGGTGTACCTGGGATGTTAAGGATGTGCTTATTTAACACTCTGGCTGACATGAAACATTTCCAGTAAGTGCCAACCACACTAGACGTTGTAAAGTTCTTGTAAGAATTCCACCCTCATTCCTTTTTATCTACAGTCCTCCTCCTCACACAAGCTGTTCTTAGAACAGATTCCGGCCTGTCAGCTACAGGGGAAGCATATTTCAGATATCTCGTGTGACATTTACTTTTCGCAGCCCTCCATATCTTAAATGCATAGCTCTCTGGCTTTCCATCTGTGTGTTTATCCCATCTGTCTTCCCCTTGGCATGAACTACCCTTATGCTGCTGTTTTCTTCTTGTGGAAATCTGCACACTGGAGAGCTGGCCACATCTGTGAGCAGCCCTGAAGGTGTAAGATGACAGGGGAGCCCTGGTCTTGCTCCCTTCCCTGGGACTTCATTAGCTATTATGACCACTTGGTCTTTATTCATCCATTCCCAAGGAAACCTCATATAACCTTGTTATGGTTTGTCTTCTGATGGCCCCCTCCCCAAACCTCATGCAATCATGGATGCGGCTGAGTCTGGTGTTTGTGATTGGATCCAAGTTGATCAGAATCTGTAATCCACATGCCATTTTAGGAGCCCAGCCATGAGGTAAGATATGGTGGAGTTTATCTTGAAGAGTTGTGCTAGACCACAATAATGCTACAAAAGCTGTCACAGCTGAAGTCATCCCTCAGGAATTCACTCTACAGATGTAGAGCGAAAGATAAAATTCAAAAAGGAGTTTGAACTTGAAGGAACAAGGCTGAGAATTTTGAATGGTTTCAACTTGCATCAGCTTTTCAGTAGTTTTGGCTCAAGCAAGCTGTGGTGCATCATTTTGATCCTGACTTGGCGCCAGCTCTATGGAATGATGTGTCTTTCTCATCTCCGCCATCTAGATTTTTTGGACAAGCTTCCAGCATGCTTGGGGCATGCCTCAAATATTCAGGCAAAGGGATGTTGCCTTGGACAGACAATGAATGTAGGTCACCAGATAGCAGCCTACTGCTTAGACTGAGGTAAAGATTTTCATCTCATTTTCATATCTATACTGATTTCTGCATATTTTATAGATATGTAATTCATTCTGTAATAACTAGCAGTCAATTTATTTTAAAAATTGAATTATGCACACTTGTCACAACAGGTGCTAAAAATGCATAGATAAAAGGAGCCAGAGGTGAAGCTGGAAGATGGTTTTGTGTCCAGGGGACAAGTGGGGAGACAAATGGGGTTCATAGTCAGTCACTATGGATTGATATGCTGTGGAATTGTGACTGTTTATTTCATACAACAGGTAGAGAAAGCAAAAATAGTTGCTCCTGTCCCATGACTTAATAGGAGGCAGTACAAATTGAGTATCCCTTAACGCAAACATTTGGAACTAGAGGTGTGTCAGATTTCAGAAATTTGGGGTCTTTGAATACCTGTATACCAGATGAGCATCCCTGCTCTGAAAATTCAAAGTCTGAAATGTTCCAGAATCCAAAACTTCTTGTACATTACATTGTCACTCAACAAGTTTTGGATTTCAAATTAGGGATGCTGGATTCATAGAATCCCCAGTTTAAAAAGCAAGACAAGACCTAAAATTAGAAGAAATCAGTGTCACTCAGAAAACCTCAAAACCTACAAAGGAATGACTAGCTCCTACTGAAAATTTCTACATGTGCTTAGGAAATCTGAGATTTCCCTTGGGCGTTGTGTCACAAGTCACTTTGCTAGAACAGACACAGGAATGAGTCCTATCTCAAAGACACTTCACAATTGGTAGACAGTGCACAAAGCCTTGTTTTCATGGCCTTATTTAAAACTGCACTGAGATCCTACACAGCATAAGGCATGACCCTGGTATGTGAGCACAGTGACAATCTATGTAGATGCGGGGTTCGTGGCAATGTTATTAGCCGGGTGGCTTGATGCACTTTGATTGTACCAACATCGGGTCTTGCTCAAGAAGAAATGAATACCAAGTCATCAGGTTTTGTGGTATTATTCTAATTTCAAACTGTTTAGAAAGAAAGCATGGTCCCACAGACGTACTCCCATGGATTCTGACTCAGCAAAGGGGAGAGGCAGCCCATCAGTGACACCCTGTGCCTCACAGTTCAAATTGGGCTGAGCTCAGTTCACAGTGGCTGCCCTTAAACAGGGCTCAAAATAAGCAAGAGAAGATCCCTTTGTAAATAGTTGGGTGAACCTGCCTGCAAGGACCTTTCAGAGTGAGGAATGTGGTATTAGTCATAATACTAAAATAATGGGGGGAGCAATCTAAAATTTGCTCCCCCAAGCTAAAAGCCAAGCTATCTTCCTGTTTGGATTAGTTTTACACACACACACACACACACACACACACACACACACACACACACACACACAGTCTTACACAGATCGTCACTCCATTTTCACATTTCCAAAATGAGGGTTTGACCCTGAAGGCCCCAGTTTGCACAGGTAATGATTCCCAGCCAGAAGTGGAAGGTCAGTCGATGTCCCTCCTTCAGCTGCATGGTTGCTGACCTGTGACAGCCTCCCCAGCATGCACGTGCCTCAGATGCACCCCTCTAGGCTTCCCAGCCCTCAACCTGGGCAGCTGCCTAAACTATAAGCCCTTGGGTGTAGGAAGTGAGAAACCACTGGCCTTGTATTTTCTTTGAAATCTTTATTTGCCACTTGCATCCTTTCATCCCACCTCTGCGAACTATGGAAACCAGCTGGAGGCCACATCTGGTGCGGCCCAGGCCATTTGGCCATGCGGGGAGTCCAAGCCCAAGCATAACACAGGTAACAAGGGCACACAGGAAGTTCACCTCCCATAGTAGTTTGGCCTTTAAAACACTAACAGCACTTGCACTGTCTTTTTTTTTTTTCTTTAATAATAAAAAAGGAAAACCAAAACCTTCTATAATTTATAAGCTATTTTTTGCTATCTACATTATATATAAAATATAGACTCTGTTTACTTTATAACACACATCTTTTTCCCTTGATAAATAACTGTTTAAAATATCTAGTATACATGCCTTTTTATATTTTTTATACATATACATACATATATATTCATGTTGGTATAACACAATAAATATATACTCAATGAGGACAACCAAAACGATGCAATTTTGGTTTTAAAAACGCACACACACATACACACAAAACAACTGAAAAGCACCGGGCAGCAAACAGAAAGCCACAATTGCAAGATATGTCTCCCTGGACAAGGTTCAGGGCAGCAGCCAGGAATGGGTAGGTCACAGCTTTTGTTTCTTAACCTGGGAGTCCACTGGCAAAATGAGTAAGTCGCTGTGTTTTACAAGGCGAAACCACGGGGCTCTTTTAGTAACTTAGCCCTTGTGGCTGCAGCAGACGCCAGAGCGCATGGGGAAGGGGAGAGGTAGGACATGTGGCTCCATGGCTGACGTGTACTCCGTACCCAGCGGGGCTCTGACTGCCCTGTGAAGCATCAACTCATTGCATTTAGTAGGATCTTTGAATCACTCGGTCCACTGCTGGTGTGAACCCAAAGGACTGCACAGATTTGAGGGTACTCAGTAATGCAATACTTCTGGAGCCTGAAGGGGAGAGCCAGCCCCATGGGTGGCCACTAAAGGGCTCCAGCCAATAGGACCCACGACGTAGAGGAGAAGAGGGTCAGCTGGGTGCTACTGTCCCTTCCTAACCATGGTCACTCGGATACAGCACTGGCTTCACGGCCATCTTCTAATGGGACCACTAAACCCATCATTTTTAAAGAAGCACAGGGGAGAAGTCTGGGGCAAGCTGGACAGTCCTCTGCTTCTATGCTCAGGGTAGGACAGGCCAGGAGAGCCTGAAGCCCACGAGGACTCTGGAACCACCCTTCAGACACACCCAGCTTTTCCTTCCCAGCTTTCTTCCCCACCCCTACCATGGAACTGAAAAGCAGGGTTCTCATAGCTGATTTTTGTTTTCTGGCAAGTTCTCCAGTGTCATGACTTCCGTGCTGTGAACTCGAGGGCTTTGATGGCCAAACAAAATAAGCAGTCCGTGGAGTAAGAATCCAAACTGGTCACAGCCTATGTTTGTACCCAGCAACGGGAAGAGGAAGCAATATCCATACAGCCCACGGGGGGACAACCTCTGAATGGATGCCCCCATCCTTGCCAAATAAAACACAAGTTAGAGACAATGGTTCACCTTACAGCCACAATGGAGAATTTTAAACAGCTAGTTAAGTACATTCAAGACATAACTGAGCTTCTGCAGTAGCTTGGGGAATACAGTCCGACACAGCCTGATGCCCAATTCTAACTTCTCCACCAACTAGCCAGGGACCTTGTGACCAGTCACTTCCCTCTCTGAGTCTCCTGTCCCTAACTGAAAGCTCAGCAGTATGCAGCAGAGTGGGCTGTGGAGCCAGGTTTCCTATCACTGAAGAAGTGGGGTGTCCTCAGCCATCACTGATTCTTTCTGGGATATAAAATGCAAGAACTGACTATATTAGACTCTGAAATCCCTTCACATGCAACTGGATTTTCTTGGACCAAGGATATCAGCTGATTTCCTCCTGTGCTCACCAGCTAACTTATAAACACGGGTCAAATTCAATAGTTGTAGCTACTGGACAAGATGAGGAGAGTGAGGACTAAAAGGGCTCAAATGCACAGCTGAACTCCAGATCACAGCAAATGAACCTTAAAAGCCCGGCTTCCTGAGAAAAGGTTTCCTGTGTTACACTCGGGCCCCTCCAAGTCCATGGCCATCTATAAGAGACCACAGTGTTTTTGAAAACTCCTGACTCTGAGGTTTGCTTGGTGACCTACAATCAAAAATTAATGTAGAAAATCCACTTGAAAAGAAGCTGAGTGATATTTTCATTCTGGGAAGGAGGGGGAGAATCAACTACTTCTGTTCAAAGCTTCATGCAGAAGCTCAGAGGTGGTGTCCCGCTCAGCAGAGTGTTGGAGGTCTCCATCTGCTCTTATCATGCAGCTGACCTTCTAAGGGTTGGACAGGGAGCACCCTTCCTGCCCAGGAAGAGCAGCCAAAGCCCAAATATGGTTGAAAGAAGCCAGGTTTTGGATTAAGTGAGCTTACTTTGCTTCCTAGTTGTGTGACTCTGGTCAGGTTACTTTTTTCTGTGTCAAGGGACTGGTAGCCTAGGGTCAGTTTATGGATCGCAGGAGCTCACGTACTTGAATGCTGTGCACACAGCAGAGAAGTCTTGGGAGTTGGCCAGACTCAGCCAAGATGGCTCCTGCAAAATCCAGATAACCCGACACGGTGGCATTTATGATCAGGTGTGCCAGGGTACATCAGAGGCATCCCACAGTGCCACTTTCCCAGGGAGGGGAGAAGTGTAGAGAGACTGACAGTGGTCACAGACTCTGAACTTTCTAAATAAGTGTGCAACAGCCCAAGCACTTGTGGACACCTGGAAAAAAAGCCCTGACCAACAGCAAAGAGTAGGATCTATGGAAGAATGGGGCCGAGATAGGCAAGGGGGAGACTGCACCGTGTTGCCTCCATCCAGCCCTTGCAACACCTGAAAGAAAGCAAAAGGGGCTGGATTTTTGCTGGGACTCAGTTCAAGATCAAAGTTAGGGATGATGTCCAAATTCCCAAGTGTACTGGGTTTGAAATAGTCCTGGGGACACTGGTGAGGGCTTACAGTGTCAGCCTCAGAGCGCTGCTCCTGGCAGAGAGGAGCAGAAGGAATCTCTTCACCACTGCATTATTTTTTGAAAATGAACAACCTAGATCTTCATTCTTCCTCATTCCCACATCTACCTACTACATGCATTTCAGTAGCTAAAATTTGAGTCCACATACTAATATTTTTTCATGCTTCTGTTAAAGTATATTCTTTTTGTATCTCCCAAGCTCAACTGAAAATTTTTGTTTTAGACAATGGCTATGTATCACAGAGCCCTGAGGCAGCTGGAATCTCACGGATCAGTTAAGCACAGAAACATAAAATTGAATCCCCAGGTATATCTATAAGTGACTTAGAAAATGAGGCCCACAGAGTCATCTACTTTCTCTGCACCCAGTCAACTGATCACTGCCAAACTGGAAATGCTGACCATACCATGTCAACCACCAGGGACCCTGATGACTTATGTGGCATCTCAGCTGACTTTGCCCCTTTGCAGGGAGGCTGGCAGGGGAGGAGGGTGCAGAGAGCCAGCCTGACTCCTCCATCCTAGAAAATGAGCGCCCTCCCTTTGGTGTGGAAATATTCACAGAGCGCCTGTGAGTAGCCAGGGGCTTTGACATGAACTGACCCCAGAGGGGAGGATGGAGGATGCAACCAATCATCTGTTTGCCTATAGACGTTACCTGCTCAAATAAAGCCTGGAGGGTGGAGCCAGGTCCATTAAATTTCCTTCTAGTTCTGCTGCTCAGCTACAAAGAAGTCCAAACTCTACCACATGCCAAAGACTGCTCTGTAACAGCGAGTCTGTGAACAAAAGTTGGGTGGATTTACAAGGAATAGCATCCATACCTAACCCGGGCAAACGTCTCATGAGGAGTGAAAAATCAGAAAAACATAACATCCCAGTGTCAGAATGTACTTGACTTAGTCTTTCAAGACCAGATCTGAATATTAAAAGATGGTATTGGTGCCTCTTGATAAGAACCATTAAAACACACATCTGCATGTGACTGGATGTTCCTTTCAGCTTGTGCCTATTTTCACTCATGAACACTAAGAAGAGGGAAAAAGCAACAGGAGAGAAAGTAGAAATTTTCCCAACATTAAACTTCTTCTCTGAGAATCCTACACCTCCAATTTAGAAATCCTGAAAACTATGGTCGTGCCTGTCCTTTTGCTTGCCACCTCTTCACAAGTTTTTAGGTGTCCACATCCTGAGAGCCAGGGCCAAAGCAAAGGAAAAAAACAACCTCGCCTCTTCTCGTTAAGGGAAAGGCATTCTATCTGAGTGGAAGAGAAGGCTTCTCTTTTACATCCTCAAAGCTGGGTACCACTCCTAACCAGAGACGGGTGGTAAAGCCCAACACAGCTCCAGGGTGAGGCTTTTCCCCTTCAGTTTGGGAAGTCACTCTGAGGCCAGGGGCTGTCCCCAGGCCTGGAGGGTGGCACACGAACACATCTAAGTTAGACCTCCTTGCAGTGTGGCATTCTTGGCGCCAACCTGAGAGCCAGGTGGCAATGGACACCGCTTCCTCTCTCCCTCCCTTCCAGGGAAACTCTTCAGGTCTGTCCCACTGCCGAAGAGCTCAGAGGGACAGTTCCTTCTGTGCCGCCCACCTCTTAGCCCGTGAGAACCTGGGCTCTGCTCAGGCCAGACAGCCACCCTTCCACTTCCCAGTTAAGGAAACTGCACTTTGGTACACCACCTACTTTTCCTTCAGATACCTTAAGTGGAATCAAAAGCGGCTTCCTGGAATCTGAACTTCCTCCCTGGACTAACAGGCATGCTAGAGCCGTGTGAGACGTGACCTCGCCATCTGACACACGCCTTGCAGGAGGCCGAGGCACCCGGCCGGGGCAGATGAGAGGGAGGGAAGTGACCTGTCCTTGCTTCTCACAGTGCAGGGCAGCAGCCGGGGCTGCTCGACCTCTGCCTCTGATGGGAACACCCAGCAGGGGCCATGGCAGGTAGGGCTCGGGGTCCACCAACACTGTCTGGGGTCCCTTACCGGCCAGGGTCCCCCTCCTTAGATGCCATGTATTCTCCCCCACTATGCATTTTCCCCGGTCCCCACCAGGTCCTCGCTAACAATACAGGGACATCCTGCTGCGACGCATGGCCTCGCTGATCAGGTAGGCGGGGCTCAGCTCGGGCTCCTCAGTCATGATGGCGATGTTCTGCCACTCGCCAGTCTGGCTGGACCTCTTGATGGTGTCCACCACGCAGAGCGCATACAGGCAGTCGTCGAAGGTGGCGGCCATGGTGAGTGGCTGCCCGTCCCACGTGCGCCGGTCATCCTGGTCCTGGAAGGCCTGGCGCACGGCCTGCATCATCTTCATGGTGCCGCGCAGGTAGGGCGCGGGGATGTCGCTGAAGGCCTTGGCGGGCAGCAGCGAGTTGCTCACGGGCGTGGTGTCCTGCAGCAGCAGCTCCTGCTCGGCCTCGCTGTTGCGCTGCCCGTAGAGATCAGTGCCCACGGCCAGCAGGCGCCCGGCCGCGCCCACCACGGTCACGTCCTGCTTGAACTCGCCGGGCACGTTGAAGTTCAGGGTCACGGTGCAGCACACGCCGCCCTCCAGCACCATCTGGAAGGTGCAGAAGTCGTCGCTGGTGATCTGGCGGATGCCCTTGATGTGGTCCGTCTGCTTGACAAAGGTCTTGAGCAGCCCGTGCACCTTGACGGCCTTCTGGCCGGTGAGGAAGGTGAGCAGGTCGATGATGTAGGTGCCCACCGAGTGCAGCCCGCCGCCGCCCATCAGGTCGTCGCAGCTCCAGTTGTACTTCTTGCCCAGCAGGCTGCCCCCGTGCACCTGCACCTCGCACACCAGCAGCTCCCCCACGTAGCCCTCCTCGATCAGCTGCTTCATGCGCACGAAGGCCGGCAGGAAGCGCAGCACGTTGCCCATGATGCTCATGAGCTTGGGGTAGTAGTGGGCCGCCGACATCATGCGGAAGGCGTCCAGCGGCGTGGCCGTGCGGTCGCAGATGACGTTCTTGCCGATGCCTGCGGGACCAAGACGACAGCGGGTCAGCGCGCGGGGCGGACGCTAGGGGGCGCTGTGGCGCCGGAGCGCGAGCCCCCACCCCCACCTCAGATTAGTCTCCCATGATGCTATTTATGCACATTTATCACTGTTTACTAACACTTCGGAAACTTGGGGAGTGAAATTTTCATAATATGGTTCTTCATTATACAAGCCACATCATATATACTACACTATTACACTAAATACTTAGACTACATCAATTTAATTGTAATAGTAAATCATTGGTACTGATTGTAAGGTTTACTTTAATACACTTACATAGTAAGTGTATTAATAGTAAGGTTTACTTTAATACACTTACATAGCATATATTTTAATATATTTGCTGATATAAATAAGTGCTTTAATATTTTCATAAGTTTATAACACTTTATAAGCAAGTCTTGCTTATAAAATAATGTAAAAATATTTATATATAAAAGATAGTTTTATGAAAGTACACAATATCTTTTAAAATTATCTTGTACACAACGTATTTTATATGTAAACGATGTCAACATAAAAGGTATTATTAAATAGCCTAAATATTTTTAGAGTAGGGAGAGCAGTTATCTAGATAAAACTGGGACATATGAGTTCAATTCCCAGCCAGGGAGTCTGATTAAATGTGAGGAGGAATTTCTTAATGATACCCTTTGAAGGTCTAAGCTTTTGGCATTCTGCCGCCCCCTCTTCCCCCAGGGTTGCATTTGGAGCCTCTTTTTTAACATTCTAGATTAGGGCTGGCAGTGGTCACAGAGGTTTGTTCAATGTTCCACCACCAGCAGATTCATTACCTGGAGGGGTGGGCTGTGTCCCCCCCCCACCTGCCACCAGGGTGGATGGAGTTTGTATGAGAATTAGCCCCATGTGATGTCTATAATGGGCATATAAATTACAGGGACTGCAAGCTGCCTGCCTGAGCCCTTGAGGAGGCTAAGTGGCTCTGGGTCTGGCACAAACAAAGGATCAAAGAGTGACAGGGACTGCAAAAGGGATTTATTCAGCAGAAGCCAGGAGAAAAACAGCTCTACTGGATGGACTGATGTGGAGAAACCGCCAACTACAACTCAAAGCACGGATCTGCTAGCAAGCCCAGTAAAACATGTATGAGGGGAGTCAAGGTGTGCACCCACCAGGTGCAGGTCTCTGTGGCTCAGTCTTTGCACACCCTCGAGTGGAACCCTGGAGACTTCCGCCACAGACAAAGGTGCGACCTCACAGGGAGGAGGGCGATGAGACACAAATGATCTCTTGAACCGAGCTGAGTCGGTACCAGGTTTTGTGGGAGCCCTGCAGTTCAGATGTCTGATCAGCTCAGCCTGGAGTGTGAACCACTTTCCTCTTGTGGAGACAGCCAAACAGCTGATGTGATCAGGGCAAAGTGGAGAAAAAAAAAGCAACCATAGCCAAGACTTCCAGGTGCACATCTAATTCTGGCCCCAGAGTCCCCGAATGGCCATGTCTCTCTGCCTTTTCCACCCAGGGAGAGCAGGGCTAGCCCTCCTCATGACCAGCCCTGTGCAGTCAGAGCCCTTTTAACTCCCAGCAACCAGGTGAGGACAGGGACTGTCACAAAGGTACGAGGTAACACTCATCTGTGTCACCAAAGGGGCCATGCACCTGTATAACGGCGTGTTGTGATGGTCTGATCTCACAGGCATCAGCTCACGTTGCCAGGAATGGATTTATATGTAAATGGATTGGTGGGTCACTGCAGCGACAGGTGACAAACACTACCAGGTTCTGCCTCACACCTGTGGGGTATAAACTCTGGCTTTTGCCTCACCCTGCCTCAAGGTCCTCCAAACCAAGACAGTTGACTGCCATCTTGTTGTATTCTAAGGATTCAGGTGGATGGCATTTTTTTTTTAAGTTTTGTCTACTTTAACTTTTTATAATAGAAAAAAATAATTCACCTCCTTTACCACGAATTCCCCAGTAATCAACGAATAGAAAATTCTCAGCAACTCTGTAGATTCTTACGAAAGCTCCAGAAGAGACCAGATGAAATCCACGCAAAGAACTGTTCCATCCCAGCATTCACCTTGGATTCTCTCGGGTCCAGGCATCTCTTGTTCTAGGATAGTTCTTTATATTATAATGCCACGCTATCCAGTACATTCCTCAGGGTAAACCTAGGGTTTACTTTCTCCAGTGTCCACAGCACCATGTCTTATAGGGCAGGATCACCACACACACTGTCACCTGGCCCCACGTCTGCCTGCAGTCTCTGGGGACATCCATGCTGCATAGAGGACGTAGTACTTTGACATCCAACATCCTTGAAAATCAGAAGAAATTTCTAGGAAGCTATCCCAAAGAAATGATGTGAAATGCAAGCACGGCTTTGTGCCCAAAGATGAGTCTCTCTACATCATTTATTAAAGCAAAAAGCTAGGCACAATACAAACGGCCAACATCCAAGAATGGCTAAGAAAACTGGGGTGGGGCCATATAATAGAATATTGTTCAGCCCCTGAAGATGATGCCCATACAGACCGCTCAATGCTGAGCAAGCTCATTATGATGTAATGTTATAGAAAAGGGTTCTATTCACAGGCACACTTGGATCTCGGCTCTGAAGAGACAAAAATGCCAGCATGGACTACCTGACGTGTTACAGCCGCTAAGAGCAATTAGCAGGATTAGGTCTGCTCTTTTTCTTTTTGGCGCTGGGGATTGACTGAACTCAAAGCTTCACAATGCTAAGTAGTGTTGCTACTAGATTATTTTTAAGCCTAATAAGAAAATATCATAGAAGAGCAGCACTCAGTGTTGACTAAAGGACCCTCAGAGTTGGAGGGCCTGGCTCTCATGGACCTGTCTCTAGCTCCTGTGACCCAGTAAGACGGTGCAAGCATCCTCATCTTGAACTTTGTAAGTATCAGAAGCTCTGGCCCTGTGGCCTGGTCTTCCTGCTTTGATTGCTCAGGACCTCTTTATGAGGGGAAAATACTGTCCCGGCCTCACCTTGCACAGAGAGGAAAGAAACTGCTCTCACCACTGAGGGGACAGAGTTACACCAAGGACTGGAGAGCCATCCCCACACCCAGTGCCCCTCAGAGCACCCCAGACACACACACTCTGGGCCTTGAGTTCACACTGTCACAGCAGCACAAGGCAAGAGATCAGAAGCTCAGCGACTTCAAATAGCCTTCCAGAAAATCACGCTGCAGAGAACAAAGCGAAGCCTCTCAGAACATACGGGTCCTATTTCACTCCCAAGCCACAGCCAGTGTGAAACAGAAAGCAGGGAAACAGGGCATGAGAGGAAGTTACTGTGTGGTGCCAGGCCCCGGACATTCCCGTGCAGCAGACAGTTTCAACAGAGCTCTAGGTGCTCACAGTGACGACAGAACCAGGCAGGCTTCCTAGGCATCCTGGAGCTGGGATGAGGTGGGGGTGTCACCCTGCTGCTCCCACTGAAGGACCTCGAGCCTTCCACCCCACCCCAGGGGGCTGTCCCTGTGCACGGAAGTGGGAATCTTGGAGTGGTACCACCCTTGTCTACCTGGTACAGTAGGGCCACGGACGGGTAGCAGAGGACACATCAGGGACATCTTCCTGACCCTCTCCTGCACAGACCACTTGCTCTCTTACAGAGGGACAGAGACTTTGGGTGGCTCTGGGCTTCAGCCAAGTTTGTTTTCAACACGGGAAGCCCTCAGGAGCACATCAGGTGGGAGCACATCAGGTGGGAGCACACCAGGTGGGAGCACACCAGGTGGGAGCGCTGTGTTGGCAGAGATGGCGTCTGCCCACCTGCTCTTGGGGCTGAGGCTGGAAGCAGAAAGGCAGCAGCGGAAACTTCCATGGGTGGAAGTGTAGCAGCAGCGAGGCCGGGTGCCTGCTCTCTGTCAGAGCTTTTACATTAAATAATTTCCAAAGCCGCTGTGCCACCCTCCCGAGCTCTCTCAAAGGGGAAATGGAAACTTGGCTCCCTCTGAAGCCGGCTGCGTATGTTTCTGAAGCTGAGCTGAAATACCCACAGCCCTTATGAGGAGCTGGTGCTCTAGGAAGGGCTTGCAGGCAACAGTCCTGCAGCTGCCTCCAGCAGAACACTCAGGGTCTGCAAGACACAGCAGAATCCTGGCTCAGATCTCTCTACCACTAGGGGAGACCAACGCTGATCCCTGATGTGACAGTCTCCCCCCAGGAGGGAGTTTCCCAGTGACGCCTCCCCACCATGCAGGAGCCCCTTGGCTGCCCGCGTTTAGATAGGCTGCTGTGTCCAGAGCCGTCCCACCAGGCTCTCCGCCTGGAGCTCACAGCCTAGCTGCCTGCCAGGTTTCCGCAGGTTCCCAGCTGTGCGCTCCCTTATCTAATCGGGTGGAATCTCCGAGGCCACTGCTACTTTCTCTCCTGTTCCTCCTGATTATTCCTCTTGTGTTGACGGCCACTTATCTTTTGGAAACCTGGATGCTCTTCCTACAGACAGCCTGGTGGGGCCCCCTGCGAAGCCCATCGGACAGGCTTCCTGGTTCTCCCACTTCCTCAGAATTTGCTTTGTTATACACTCACTGTGCTTCCCCATCCCTAGCCACCAGCACCAACCAAGGAAAGGAGAGAGGATCGGAAGTTCAGAGAGACTCAATCAGGAAACGATCACAGGATGCAGATCTAAAAGGCAGGTAAACAAGAGGAGTGAGCAAGAAGTGAAGCGGGGAACTGTCCACTTGATTTGGGCCTGGAAGAAAGCAGGACTTGTGACATTTCAGCCGGGTTCAGGTTCTGAAGCGTATGTAGGAGTCTAATCATTCATCAGATATTCAAGCTGTCATTCAGACTTCGTGCCCTTTAGAAAATGGTCAAAGTAAGGTTACTTCATCTGGGACCTAAGAAACCACTAAAGCTGGACTGTCCACAATTACATGTAGATCCTGAACAGTTTTCTGAGATAGAGGCTCATTTGATTCTTCAATGGTTCCAAAAAGATTAAGAAGAATTGCAGTTTAGAGTGAAGGGGAAAAAGCAA